TTTCAGCAGCGGCTGAATCTGGATGCCAGTTCCGACTTACATACAGATTCAACTTAAGAACAAACCTACAGTCCCTATCTTGTATGTAACCCGGGGACTGTCTGTATTTGCTTTTTGGACTGCCACTGCATACCAAGTGGATGTTTTCAGAGAACTATCCACTATGAGTCTGTGATCTCTCTTGAGTAGTTGTAGCCAAGTTATTCCCCGTCATATTGTCTGTATAGTTGGGATTATTTTTTCCAATGTGCATTACTTTACATGTATCAACATTAAAGTTCACTTGCCATTTTGTTGCCCAGTCACTTCATTTAGTGAGATCTTTTTGAAGCTCTTAACAGTCTGCTTTGGTCTTAACTATCTTGAGCAGTTTGATATCATCTGCAGATTTTGCCACCTCACCGTTTGCCCCGTTCTTTAGATCACTTATAAATAAGTTGAATAGGATTGGTTTCAGGACAGAACCTTGGGGGACTCCACTCGTTACCTTTCTTCACTTGGAAAACATACAATTTATTCCTATCCTTTGTTTTCTGTCCTTTAACCAGTTATCAATCCATTAAAGGACCTTCCTTGTTATTCCATGATAACTTATGAAAGTGGCTAATGCCAGGGGCCTCCAGAGGGTATGAACCCATCTGGTAATCATCAAGTGATCCATCTTCTGTCAGCTTTTGCCAGCTTATGGTAAAGATAGGCTAGAGATGCTATCTCTGCACATTTCTGCTAATAGCCATTGATGGACCTATCCTCCATGAATTTATCTAGCTTATTTTAAACAGTCTCAGCTTTCTCAACATCCTCTAGCAAAAAGTTCCACAGGCTTACTACGCATTGTGTGAAAAAAATATTTCCTTTTATTTGTTTTAAACCTATTGACTATAAGCTTCATTTTGGGGCTCATAAATCTTGTATTATGAGTAGGAGTAAATAACACTTCCTTATTTACGTTCTCCACACTGGTTAATTTTTATAGACCTCTATCAAGTCCTCCCTTAGTTGTCTTTTTTCAAGATGAAAATCCCCAATCTTATTAATCTATCCTCATTCAAGATGCGGTGACCACATCTGCATGCATTCAAAATGTGGGTATACCATGAATTTAGATAGAGGCAATATGATATTTTCTGTTTTACCATCAATCTCTTTCTTAATGATTCCAAATATTCTGTTCACTTTTTTGTCACTGCACATTGAGTGGATGTTTTCATACAACTGTCCACAATGACTCCAACATCTTTCTTGAATGGTAACAGTTATTTTAAACTCCATTATTTTAGATGAGATTATGTTTTCCACTAAATACTACATTGTATTTATAAACATTGAATTTCACCTGACATTTTGTTGTCCAGTCACCCAGTTTTTTGAGGTTTCTTTGTAGCTCTTCATAGTCTGCTTTGAATTTAACTATGTTGAATAGTTTAGTATCATCTGCAAATTTTACCATCTCAGTGTTTACCTCTTTTTCAAGAACAATTCTGAATATATTGAATATATACTGTCCCAGTACAGACTCTTGAGGGACACCACTGTTTACCTCTCTTCATTCTGAAAACTTATCATTTATTCCTATAATTTGTTTCCTATCTTTTCACCAGTTATCAGACCATGAGCTGATGTTCCTTTTTATCCCATAGCAGCTTACTTTGCTTCAGAGACTTTGGTGATGGAGTTATCAAAGGTTTTCACCCGGGGACTGCCTGTATACTATGTCCACTGGATCCCCCTTCTCTCCATGTTTGTTGACTCCTTCAAAGAATTGTAATAGATAAGTAAGGCAGATTTCCCTGTACAGAAATCATGTTGACCTCCCGCCCCTCCCCCCCCAACAAATTATGTTCATCTACTTGTCTCACAATTTTATTCTTTACTATAGTTTCAACTAATTTACCCAGTACTGGTGTTAGACTTACTGGTCTATAATTGCCAGGATCACCTCTAGAGCCTGTTTTAAATATTGGCGTCATATTAGCTATCTTCTAGTCATTAGGTACGGAAGCTGATTTAAAGGATAGGTTACAAACCGCAGTTAATAGTTCTGCAATATCCCATTTGAGTTCTTTCAGAATTCTTGGGTGAATGCCATCTGGTCCCGGTGACTTTTTACTGTTAATTTTTTCAATTTGTTCCAAAACCTGGTTTAATGACACCTCAATCTGGGACAGTTCCTCAGATTTGTTACCTAAAAAGAATAGCTGAGGTTTGGGAATCTCCCCAATATCCTTAGCCATGAAGACCGAAGCAAAGAATTCATTTAGCTTCTCCGCAATGACGTTATCATATTCCAGTGCTCCTTAAGCATCTCGATTGTCCAAGGACCCCACTGGTTGTTTTAGTCGACTTCTTGATTCTGATGTCCCTAAACAGTTTACTATTACTTTTTGAGTTTTTGGCTAGCTGTTCTTCAAACTCCTTTTTAGCTGTTATATTTTCCCACTTAATTGACAAAGTTTATGCTCCTTTCTATTTTCCTAACTAGGATTTGACTTCCACTTTTAAAAAGTTGTATTTTTATCTGTCACTGTTTCTTTTCTTGGGTAAGCATGGTGGTACTTTCTTGGTGGCTCTACTGTATTTTTTAACTTGGGCTATACATTTAACTTGGGCCTCTATTATGGTGTCTTTGAAAAGTTTCTATGCAGCTTGCAGAGATTTTGCTTTTGTCACTGTATCTTTTAGTTTCTATTTAACTAACTTCCTCATTTTTGTGTAGTTCCCCTTTTTGAAATTAAATGCTACAGTGTTGGGCTGCTGAGGTGTTTTTCCCACCACAGGGATGTTAAATTTTATTACATTATGGTCGCTATTTCCAAGTGGTCCAGTTACATTTACCTCTTGAACTAGATTTAGTCACTTAGGACTAAATCAAGAATAGCCTCTCCCCTTGTGGGCTCCAGAACCAGCTACTCCAAGAAGCAATCATTTAAGGTATCAAGAAATTTTATCTCTGTATCCTATTCTGAGGTGACATGTACCCAATCAGTATGGGGATATTTGAAATCCCCCACTATTACTGATTTTTTTACATTTTGATAGCCTCGCTAATCTCCTTAGCATTTCATAGTCACTGTCACTTGTAGTGATAGTGACTATCAGGTGGTTGATAATATATCCCTACTGCTATATTCTTATTATTGGACCATGGAATTAGTATCCATAGAGATTCTTTGGAACATTTAAGCACATTTAAGATTTTTACTTCATTTGAGTCTACATTTTTTTTTCACATATAGTGCCACTCCCCCGCCAGCATGACCTGTTCTAGCCTTCTGATATATTTTGTATCCTGGTATGACTATCCCATTGATTGTCCTCATTCCACCAACTTTCCGTGATGCCTATTATGTCAATATCCTCCTGTAAAACTAGGCACTCTAGTTCACCCATTTTATTATTTAGGCTTTTAGCATTTGTGTATAAGCACTTTAAAAATGTGTCCCTATTTATCTGTCTGTCCTTTCCTGTTAGACTTTTTCATTTGATTGTCTCATCTGATCTGACCCATACTTCTATCCTTTCCTCCTCACTAGAACATAGAGAATCTCTATTAATAGACCCTCTCCTAAGAGATGTGTGTTCGATCCATGTGCTCCTCTGCATTCATCGGCTTCCCCCCAGCCCTTAGTGTAATATCTGCTCTACAACCTTTTTAATGTTAAGTGCCAGCAGTCTGGTTCCTGTTGTAGCCCAAAACTGCCTCTTATTTCCCAGGCTTCTCTTTCTCTGGAGCTGCCAGAGGCACTAAGAAGCCTCCATCTTCAGGGCTCTACAAACTGGTGAGAGCTACTTGCCAGCCCCGTACCATGCATGCGCCAGACCGGCACTGCACATGCACACAGCCCCGGTGAATGGGACGCACGGAGCGACTGACTGAAATCTACTCACCATGGGCGAGTAGAAACAGCAGTTTGTCGAGCCCTGTCCATTTTAACCATGTTTGTTCAGTATTTAACAAACACGCTGGAGATGGAGTCTGTCTGCTAGTCAGGTTTTTTAGGAGACATGAGGTATGACTTAATGTCTTTTATTGGACTGACTTCTGTGGGTGAGGGGAGCAAGCCAGTGCTTCTTAAAGAATGTGTGTGACTGCAGCATGCCAGTTGTACCATGGTTCTCCTCTTGAACAACCACATCTTGCAGTATAACATGAGCATTCATGGTTGGTGACCACAGGAGTAGGGCATTGCAAAACACCCAAGATTATTGGGTAGAGGTGATACAGGCTCATTCCACATCCACTGGTCTAAGTTGGAGAGAGATATTAGATCAACTTCTGTTTGAAATTGTAAGATATTACTTCATTTACCTTGTGTCTATAACATCCTGGGACCAACATGGTTGCAACTACGTACAACAGTCATTCTTAAAACTTAAATACCCATCTGGGGAAGTGAAGAAATAGTCTGACAAAGCCAGATGATTGAGTACCCAGGAATCTTCTTTAAGACAGGCCCAACAAGGAAAATAACAGAACGTGCTAGTCAAATCTGCGGGGGCGTGAAGAAATTCCAGGGGACACGCGAGGTGACCCAGTCCTCCTCCTTCCCCTACCCCCACCCCCGTCAAGTTTTGCTGCCCTGGTCAGATTTCCCCCCCCCCAACAGGTTTTGGTATTTTGGGGGGGCCCGTGATGGTTTTTCAAAAATCAAGAAGGTGGCGTGATGCCAAAAAATTTGGGAACCACTGACCTACAGTCTCCAGCTTAAAGCTCTCTAGTGCATTATTGACCACCTACAACCTATCCCTGAAAAAGATCCCTCACTCTTGCAGGCCTTGGGAGGCAGGCCAGTCTTTGCCTACAGACATCCCATTAACCTGAAGTAAGTTATTTCCAGCAGCCACACTCGTGCCTCTGATACTGTCACCCAGGAACTTACCACTACAATAAACCCTGTTGCAAACTGTCCACACATCCCTACACAGAACTACTCATTAAGTTACAGACTAACACTGCTACCCTTCTGAGACTTTTCAGCAAAGGTAGGTTTTTGACAGTTTTCCTGACCCCTATAACGTCTTCTAGATCACCGTTCTGGGGACTCCTGCGGAAGAAGATGGAGGAGGCAAAATAGATCTCATAGAAGCTGGTGCTTTTGATGATCTGGATGTTGTTTTTATGGCTCATCCAGCACAAAAGAATGCAGCTTATTTACCTGATGTGGCTGAGCACGAGTAAGTAATGTATTTGAAAGTCTTATTTTTGCTTTCTGTATGTCATTTCAGTGAAAGAATACCTGCTTTTAAAGTAGTTCAGTTTGGAGTCTGGTAATCAGTGGAATTGCTCATAGATATATAATATGTGGCCAGATCACTAGCAAGTTGATATAATATAGCACATTGTTTTCTGGGAAAATATTTGTCAATGTTGGTGCCACATTTCTCTTCTTGAATTGTATTCCTCAGATGTTTATGGTACTTTATTGCTCAAAGATGCAGTTTTTGTGTAAGCAGTATATTTTTCAATTCCCTGCAATTTTGTTCCTTTAGACTGATTCTGACCAAATATCCCCAAACAAACATTTGCACCTGTTTTAAAGCCTTCTAAAGTGAATTGGAAAATATTCACTTAAACTATGATTATTTCCATTCACAATGATAGATACAATAGCATTAAACTGAGGCACTGCCAGCCTTTAATTGGAAGGGTTAAAATGTTCAAACTCTTGAATTGGAGATACTCTTGCTTTAGTCTAAAGCAGAATGAAGCTCCCGCCTGCTCCCCACCCAGCTGCTGCTTCTGATAGAGAGGCAGCAGGATGGGTTGGGGGGACGGGCAGCTCCAAAGCGGTTACACATTTACCAAGATAAATGTGTATCTTAACATCTCTAGTTTGGGGACCTTTCAGGGGTGGCAGATGCATCTCACGGGCTGGATCTGGCCCACCAAGCCACCGGATCTGGTCCATGGACACCCTGCTGGGACCCTCAGGCATACAGCTACTGCTGTTTTAGACGCGGGGCTGCTCCATCTGCCTCTCTGCTCAAGCAGTGGTTCCCAACTGCCAGGCTGCGGACTGCTGGCTGCCAGGCTGTGACTACTCTGAGGGCTGGGGTACACTGCTCTTGTCTCAGCTCTTGGAAGAGATATGTCCTGCCTCGCCTCTCAGCCAACTGGTGCTGGGTCTCTTCCCAGCTGCAGAAGAGCGCTTCCCTGCACGGCCTCCCACCATGCTGGGGAGCTCTCTCCCACGGCTGGGTGGAGAATCCCGCCTCTGCCTGGTGCTGGTTGGCTGAGAGGCAAAGTAGGACATGCTTCTCCCAACAGCTGTGGTGAGAGCAGTGTATCCTGGCCCCCAGAGCTGCTGTGATGCAGGTAGCAGCACAGGGCTCAAACTCAGACCATTTCTCTAGTTTGTCCAGAACATTTTGAATTTTGACTCTATCCTCCAAAGCACTTGCAATCCCTGCCAGCTTGGTATCATCTGCAAACTTAATAAGTGTACTCTCTATGCCATCATCTAAATCACTGATGAAGATATTGAAGAGAACCAGTCCCAAAACAGGTCCCTATGGATCCCCACTTATTATGCCCTTCCAGCATGATTGTGAACCATTAATAAGTACTCTCTGAGAATGGTTGCCCAGCCAGTTATACACCCACTTTATAGCAGCCGTATCTAGGTTGCATTTCCCTAGTTTATTGATAAGGTCATGCAAGGCAGGTACTGGGAGATCTAATGGTGGTGGGCTCTAAGGAGTGGGGGGCTGGCACTGAGGCATTTGGGATGGGGGGCTGGAGGCTGGTATGGGGTTGGGTGGAAACCCTGCTCTAAGGGATAGGGTTGGCACTGGGGGCTCTGGGGACTGGGCTTTTGGCAGAGTGGTAACATTTTATTTGGATATTTTCATATTCAGTGTTTGCATAATGAATATGCAAATAAAATGTTACCAGTTTGCCAAAAGTTTGTGAATGGGTTTACTAGTCCCCAGTATCAAAAAGGCTGGGAAACGCTGCTCTGGAGCCTTCGAGTGATCTTTGGTCTCCAGCCCAATCCTCAGCTCCTATTGGCCAGAAACAACTGACCAATAGGAGCTGAGATATTGGCCCAGGGATGGGGGACAGTGCAAGCCTCTCCATCTTTCTGGAGCAGAGAGCCACATGGAGGGAACAACCTGCATTTTCAAGTGGTCTGGGGCTGCAGCAGGTAGGGAGCCTAGGCTGCCTTGTGGGTGCTGCAGGGCTGCTGGCTGGGAGATGCTTAGGTAAGTGCCTCCTAGCCAAAACCTGCCTCTAGCACCCCTCCTGCAACCCAACACCCTCCTCCCCATCTGCACCCCCTGCCCTAGGTCACAATTCCCTCCCAGATGCTGTACCCCCTCCTACAGTGCTCCTCCAATCCAGAATTTTCTCCTGCACCCATACCTCCTCCCTGACCCTACACCCTTATTCCCTGACCCAGGTCTCAACTTCCTCCTTCACCCAAACTCTCTCTTATATATCATGCCGTGTCTTGCACCCCAATCTCTTACCCCATGTGCCATTCTGCACCCAACCGCCATGCTAGAACCTGCACCTCCCTGGCCACAGAAAAGTAGAGCCCTTGACCACTTCCAAAGTCTACTCTCCCAACAAAAATTATTGCCCACCTCTGAATTAGAGAATAGGATACAGTCAGATCTAGGCACTATCCTAAGCTATCCATTGCAAAAGTCACATCTATCCTCATTTACTTCATATCATATATTTGGAAAATTATGATAGGATTGTTGAGGCTTAATGTTTGCCTTGTCTGAAAGGCTGTCAATAAGTTTCAGTCATCGAACAAATGTTTTTGTTATAAGGTTCATTAGGAAACCTAGGTTGTTAATGATGTCTTTTGCCCCAGGGATTTCTGTTTTGGGGTTTATAGCAGTGCAGATTTTAAGACACTTGAAATGCATTTACCTCCACGTTTTGAGGCTTCCTTTCTGCCTGTCAGTAGCCCCGAAGAGCCTCAGTGCTAACTTACATTCCAATTAATGTCTTCTGGCCACAAGTTATATTTTTTGCTTACATTTGAATTAATTTTTACAAATTGTTTTCTGAGATGGGGGAGAGGGATTAAGTGAGGATCACCTTGAAGACTCTTATGTCTTTGCTATGTCTTATTTCAAATGGGTTGCTGTTGAAACTTCAAACTAAGTACACCCATAAATCTTAGTGAGATTTATTTCATACTCCATTTCTGAATTGGAAGAAAAAAATACACTGGAGAAGGTTGTTTTTGTTTGTTACTTGGAGCCTCAGAATGGAATGGTCTGGCTCCAGTGGGTTTGTGGTACACATGACTGATGAGGACATCTGCTTCATAGATTAAAAATACAACCCTAAACAAAACAAACCTCTCTTCTTCTCTGTGGATATGCAATCCTCTTCTTGGGCAAGAAAAAACTGTTCATGTGGTAACTAATATCACTTACTGACAGGCAGCCAGAGTTCTTAACATATTCCTGGTATATTCTATGTCCTTTTCACCTCCACCTTCAATCTCGTACCTCTATTCCTTGTATATTCATTCATATAGTCTCAAATTGGTGTCCATAATATCTCTGGAAAAAAGTCTCTCCTTTTCCTTGTACATGAGCCAAACTTCTACTCTCTTGAGGCAATCAAGTTCCACTGCAGTAGGGGTGTTACTGGATGCTGAGAACTCTAGGAACTTACTTCATCTCACATAAATGGCAAAGGAGAGGCCAGGGAGTTCAGCTGGTAGCTGAAAGGTTTAGGTCATAAATATACAATATACTCAGCCTACATAACTGACTTCAAGTAACCCTTTTGTCCAATACTTCAATAGGCTTCCTTTCTGTACAAGATTCTGTAACTTGATTCTTTCTCCATGTTTCAGATCTGCTTCCTTGAACTTTGTATGAAAACAAATCAGTTAAAAATTAAGTTTAACCTTTAATTTATAAAAGTCCTCCACATTTGCAAGCATGCCAGGCTGCCACCTAATTGGATTTTGCTGAGTAGTGATAAAGAACAAAGTTAAGATAATTTGAATGCCTTATCTATGATCTTTTATATTGCGATCCTGAAACTGGTGCTATGCTTGTCAATAAAGCATTTATTTATTATTTATTTATTTTAAATATTTTTACCCTGCCTCTCTATTTAAAATATTTGAAGCGGCTTACAAAATGTTTAAAACACAATATATAATAAAATTAAAATACGAGACCCCAGAAGGACAGAAAACTTGCTAAGACTTCTTGAGAGGATGGACATACAAACTCAAACACCAATAAAAGCACAAGTAAAAAGGGTGACTTTATCCTGACGCTGAAGCAATGCTAATGTTGGCGCTATGCAAATATCCCCAAGGAGAGAATTCCACAGCCTGAGAGCAAAAGCTGAGAAGGCCCTGCTCTGCATAGATTTTAATCTTATCTCCATAAGTGGAGGAGCACTGAGCAGTGCCTCCCCAGCTGACCTCAATCCCTGGGCTGGTTCGTATGGGAGAAGATGGTCCTTCAGATACTCTGGACCTAACCCTTTTAGGGCTTTGTAGGTCATAACTAAGACTGTAAATTGTGCCCAGAAACATAGCAGAAGCCAATGCAGCTGCCGGAGCACTAACATAATGTGCTCCCTGTAACAAATATTCACTAAACTCAAGCAGCTGCATTCTGGACCGGTTGAAGTTTCCGAAGGCTCTTCAGAGGCAGCCCCACATAAAGCATGTTACAATAATCCAATCAGGATGTAACAACAGCATGGATCACTGTGACCATGGCATGCTTATTAAGGAAGTGTCGCAGCTAGTGGATCAGCTGAAGCTGCCCAAAAGCACTCCTGGCCTCCGAAGAAATTTGGTTCTCAAATGTTAAGGAAGAGTCCAGCAGGACTCCCAAGCTGCGTACCTGTTTTTTCAGGAGTAACTTGACCCCCTCTAGAACAGGTACTATGCCACATTCCTGAATAGATGGCCTCCTGATCCACAGGACCTTAGTCTTATCTGGATTCAACTTCAGCTTGTTTGACTTCATCCAGTCCATCACAGCCTCCAGACACAGATTTAAATTGGTCACTGCCACATCTGGTTCTAATGTCACAGGGAAATAGTTGGGTGTCATGTTCATATTGATGGCACCATCCTCCAAAACTCCTTACGACCATGTAGCTGTTAAACCGCCTAGGGGACAAGATGGAACCTTGCAGGACCCCTTTGCACAATTGCCACTGGATCGAT